TCTTTTGGTGTGCCTATGTGATTAGTATAAATACTTGATGTGTATTCACTTTCACACTTTTCACTCTCAGAATTTACATGCGTTTTCACATATTGTTCTCTCTGCATAAAAACCCAAAACCTAAGTGTTCTAAAAAGCAATCTTCAATGGCGTCTTCTTCATCAACAACTGCACAGTTTCAATCCACAATGGCTGCTGTAACTTCAGATAACCTAGGTGTTGTTCCATATACTCCTCCAAAGAGAACTCTTCTTACACCAGTTGATAAACTAGAAGTATTGTGTGAATCCATGGTTGAATTTGATTCTCTGGCTGACAATGGGTTTGATTTTCGCTCCATTGTTAGAGCTCAAGGTTGGGTGAAATACTTTGATAGACTGTTTGGACCAGTTTACCCTCTGCTTGTTAAGGAATTCTGGATTCATGCATCTGTGTATCCAAAGTTTATTTTATCATCTGTGCTGGGAAAGGAGATCATCATCACAGAGGATCTGATTAGAAGACTGATTGGTTATGAAGAAACAGATGGTGTTTCACATCTGCCAGCTGGGCGTGTTGATATGGATGAAGTTTATGAGGAGGTTATGACTGCTGGACAAGCCTCTAACAGATTCAAAGATCTGAAGCCTGATTACAAGATCTGGGCCAAGATCTTCATGGGATGCATACATCATAGAAAGTCAACAAATTCCCCAGATTATGTCAACAATGAACAGATCTATTTTATGTACTGCCTTAGTCAGAGCAACAAGGTAGATCTGCCTTATATTTTGTTCATGCATCTGTAGAATCACATTAATGCATCTAGAGAATCTGTCAAAGAAAAAGGCCAGAAGATCAGGACTTGGATACCTTTTGGAAGGTTGCTCTCAGATCTTCTCACTGAAAATGGTTTAGTGGCTGCTCTGTATGATGCTGGTGTTACAGAAGAACTAGAGTTCATTATGGGAAAGCCTCTGAACGCTAAAAGCCTTCTGAGACTCAAGATTGTAGATGAACTTACTACTGCTCCAAAGAGATTAAATATGTCTGATTTGAATAAGAGAATTCCTGTATCAGATTTTCCTCTATTCTTTGCTGAAGAACCTAGACACATTGTTCTGATGTATATAGAGGAATGCAAAAGGGAAGGAGTGCCTGTTCCAGCCAATGTGTTTCAACTTGTCAAGCAACCACTGCCAGATGCAGAAGAATAAGAAGAAGTTCCACTTCAAAGGAAAAGATCTCAGCCTGTAGCAGAATCTGAACATGTCCAGAAGAAGGCTAAGATTGATGAGAAACCAAAGGATCTGTTAAAGAGAAAGAACTCTGGAGAAGCTGCCTCTGCATCTGCTAAGAGGATTAAACTCAAAGGTACTAAAGCTTCTGTTATTTCTAAAAATGTTGTTATTAATGATTCATCTATTAAGTCTGTTCCCAAACCACCTGTCACTCAAACAACATCTGTTGTTGCCCCTAGTTGTGTCTCACCTCAGAAACAAACAACTGCTTCTGTATCAAAACCACCTCAACCTAAAATACACATCAAACACTTCACTCCACGTCCTCCACCAACAGAACCACAACAAACAGAACCACAACCATCAGAACTATCACAAAATTCTGATAAACAAAACTCTGCTCAACCACAAACAGAAAATCAGCCAAAACCTTCTGATCATCCAGAAAAAAAACCACAGAAGATCAACCACAAAAAGACTCTGTCATACCACCATCAAATACCCCATCTTCTGAACCGGTAGCACCTGTTACTTCTGAACCCACTAAAGTAACTTCTGCTCCTGTTTCATCTGAACCTCCTTCACAACCATCTGATATTCCTTCAGAACCATCTCATATCCCTAAGACAGAAGTTCTTGACATCACTCCATTAAAAACAGTGTTTCAAGTTTCTTCTACCTCTTGTACACCTGAAACATCCTCAAATTCATCTGAATCAGAAATTCATCCTGATTTCCTGATTAATCCATCTGAAAAATATCCTGTACATGAACCTAAACCTGAATCAACCTTACCTGCTAAAACTTCCATTTCAGACCCTCTGCCTCCACCTGCACCATCATCTGAGATGATTGTTCCCTCTACCAATCCATCATCATCTAGAATATCTTGTGCCCAAGTGTCTTCTCTTTATCATAATTTATCTTATGGTTTCAAACTAAAAGATTTTTATGATAGAGTTGAGCCTTCTGAACCTTTGGAACCTCTGAAACCAAAACTCATTCAGGCCCTTCCATCTGTAATCCTTTCATATATTCAATCCATGAACAATGAAGGATCATTAGCCACCATATCTGCTACATCTGGTAAAGCTGCTGTTTCAGCTCTGCATCCTGCATCTGATAACACAGTTGCATCTGATAAGCCATCAAACTCTGCATTCGTACCATACTCCAATGCATCTTTTGATGTTGTTTACCCACGCACAAGACCTCAACCAACTCTGCTTAATGCTTTAAACAGATCCTTACCTCAAAAACCAGAAATTCCATTCATTCCATATGTTCCCCCACCTCTGATTTCCATCTCAAAATCACTGATACCACCCACTCCCAAACCTAAACAACTGACTCTGGAAACCTTGCTTAAACCACCACCCAGACTTAATATTGATCATTTATTTCAAACGTTTTTGCAAGAAATACAGTTGTCTTTAGGTACTGTTCAGAAAAGATGCTCTGAAACTATGGATGCAAATGAGACTGACATCATCTGGAAAGGTTTTGTCAATAGATTCAACACTATAGCTTCTAATCTGAAGAACATCTGTTCTGATGATGCAAAGCTCAGAGCTGAAAGAACTCAATTCTGGATTGTGAACAAGACTGAACCTCTGCTGTGTTTGGATGCTCCTCCTCCTCCTCCACCAGAACCAACTGCCAATGCATTGACTATGACTCTGGTAGAACCCTCTTCAGGATCTCCAGACCCTATGGCAATTGACTCTGTTCAGAATACAGAACCTCCATTTTCCTCATCAGAGATAAAGACAGAAAATCCAGATTTTGGAAACAAGATTGCTGCTCTGGAAGCTGGTCAATCTGAAATCAAATCTTGGATGGCGAAGCAAGACAAGAAATCTGAGGACATGTCAGAGTGGATGTCTAAACAAGATGAGAAGACTGAGACAATGACTAAGTGGATGTCAAAGCAAGAGAAATCACAATCTGAGATCACAGACCTATTGAAGATGCTTTTGTCAAAACAATCTTAGATTTTTTTTCTCATATTTGTGCATCTGTTGTTTTGCATCTGAATGTTCTTGATTATATGTACTTTTGCTCTGTTATGATTAAATGAATCTTCTTGTTACTCTCCATTGAATTATCTGTTCTTGTTCCTTTTATTTGTCTTTATTAAAAGTTTTTACTTTTTGCTTATGACAAAAAAGGGGGAGAAAATAAAGATCTGAACTATTTAATATAATTTCACTAGAACGAATCTTCAGACATATCTATTTTTTTCTAATATCTAAATTGACTATTTCAGAACATTTGATAAGAACACTCTATAAAAGAATCTCTGAGTCTCTCAGATCATTTATCTTTTATCAAACTCTGAATCTCATATCTGCAAGATAGTCTGATCCTTAATTATTACAAAACAAACAAGATCTGACTCTGAAGATTACTCAAGATAAAAAGGGAAGTTTCTATTCCTTTTTCATATTTAACTCAGGGGGAGTTATAATTCTTTATGTTCAATTAAATAAAATTTCTGATACTTTTTGTCATCATAAAAAAGGGGGAGATTGTTAGAACACAGATTGGTTCTTAATAATTACTCTTTGTTTTGATGATAACTGTTAGGAAATTTATATTTAAGAATTATATACTCTAAAATTTGTTTGAGAGTTTTACTGCAGATTGAAATTATATTAACTCTCTAGAAGCAAATCTGCCTTGAATACAAGAAGTTATTCTGACTCTGAAGCGCCAGATGCACCTTACAGAAGAATCTGTTTGCTCCTCACAGAAGATCCTGAGCGTAGTCTCCAGAAGGATCTGAAGAAAGAAGCTCTAGAACATTCTGAGTCAGAAACATCTGAAGATAATCAGAAGCATCTGAAGATAGTCAGAAGCATCTAAAGCTGAAGCATCAGAAGTATAGAAGAATATTGATTGAAGAGTTTCTCAAAGCATTAGTCTACAGAAGTTTCTGAAAGTACCTACACTGTCAAGTACTGAAGTTCTGTGTCAAAATGCTCTGATGATCAACACGCTAGAAGCACACACGCTGCAGAAGACTCTGATATAGCATAGTTCTGAATCTCATTAGAAGACTCTGATCCATTCAGACTCTGAAGAACTTGCTGAAACTGAAGAAGTATTTTCAAGAATATATCCGTTGGAATTATTCAACGTCTCTTTCCTTATTTGTACTAGACACACTTACACAGACAAAAAGGATTTTTCTGTGCCATCTATTTCAAGGAAAGGTCAGTTGATGTGAAGACAAAAAGACTCAGACCTTTTGGGACTCTCTTTTCAAAGTTCAGCTTGCATATTTCAGCTGCCTATAAAAGGAGATCTTCACTTCATTCTTCAGTGCTACACGCTTGCTGAAAAGAAATCATAATATTCTAAAAAGCTTTCATTCTTATTCTTCATAGAATCTCTTTGTACTTAAACTTAAGAGAAAAATCACTGTTGTGATTATAGCTTTATAGAAGCATTAAAAACTCTTGTATTTAATTTATATTGATTGTAAAGGATATTCCTTAAGAGGATTCAGTGAGAATCAGTAGCTCTTGAGAAGACTAAGAACTGTTGTTCTTAGGTGATACTATTGTAATCAGTTTGATTTAATAGTGGATTAAGTCCTTGTTGAGAAAGGCAAATCACTCTGGAAGGATGGACCGGAGTAGTTGTTAAACGAACCAGGATAAAAATAATTGTGTGATTATTTTCAAGTCTTAATTTTCCATACTTATTCAATCCCCCCCTTTCTAAGTATTATCTTACCTTCAATATTCTACTAAATATTAAAATTCTTTTCACATGGATCCTTCCCATATTGCAAAAATGTTCATGGATTATATGAATGATGATATGGATGAAGAACTTGTGAGATTTTTTATGGAAGAAGAAGCCTCGAGCTCTATAAGGCCTACATGTCAAAGAAGAAATATAGAGAGAAATCGTGAAGAGGGACACGATCGATTGTTCAAGGATTATTTTTTAGAAACCCCGATATACACAAATGAGCAATTTCGTAAAAGGTATCGAATGCATAAACATGTGTTCATTCGTATTGTTGAAGCTCTAGGTCTACATGATGAGTAATTTTAAATGATGGTTGATGCAACAGGTTGGACAAGTCTTTCACCATTACAGAAATGCATTGTTGTTATCTGTATGTTGGCATATGGAACATTTGCTGATAATGTGGATGGCTATTTGAGAATTGGTGAAACTACGACACTTAAATGTGTTGATAAGTTTACAAGAGGAGTGATCAACATCTTTGGTGCATAATATTTGCGAAGGCCAAGCGCCGAAGACATTGAACGCCTAATGCAACTGGGAGAGGCACGGGGATTTCCTGGTATGTTAGGGAGCATTGACTGTATGCATTGGGAATGGAAAAAGTGTCCAATTGCACTGAAAGAGCAGTACGTTTGAGGTGATCACGGGAAACCAACTGTTATGTTTGAAGTAGTGGCTTCACAAGACTTATGGATTTGGGATGCATTCTTTGGGGTAGCGGGTCCAAACAATGATATTAATGTGTTGAACCAATCTAATGTCTTCAACGACGTTCTGCAAGGACGAGATCTCGAGATTCATTATACAATCAATCGTACTGAATACAATCAGGGCTATTATCTATCAGATGTTATTTATCTTGAATGGACCATGTTTGTAAAAAGTATCCTGATGCCACAAGGGGATAAGAGAATTTTTTTTGCCCAACATCAAGAAAATTGTCTCCAATCCCGATTTACGATCATACGTAACCCAACACGACCTTTGAACTTAGACACACTCCAACGCATAATGAATACATGCATCATATTACACAACATGATTGTTGAAGATGAACGTGCAACATATGGTGGAAATTTCGATTTTTCTTATGATCATTTGAGTAATGATGCGATAATATTGCCAAATGATTCTAATATTGATTTTCAAGAGTTCCTACTTAGAAGATTTGATGTTCGTGATAAACAAATTTATCGACGCCTTCAACAAGACTTGATAGAATATATATGGCAACGTTATGGACATGAGAATAACAACAATTGAAAAATATTTTAAATATATCGTTTTATTGTATTTTGTGCTAGTAATATAATTTAATGATTATATTTTTTAATATATTTTTTAATTAATTATTTGTGTGATGTATTGTGTTTTTAATATATATTTATTTTATTTTAAATGTATAATTTTTTAATGTATTTTGATATATTTGAATTTAATTATTTCAATTATTCTTTTTATAAATATAAATGTTGAGTATATTGTGAGATTTGATGAAGTCTATTTTAGAGTTTTTGATGAGTTGTATGAATATTTAAAAAAAATATAGTTTGGTTGTTTTAGAAAATATAAAAGTGTAATATAATATAAAAAATTGTGTAAGTCTATTTAAAAAAACAAAATATGATTTATGGGTGTGGATGCTCTAAGAGTACAATCTTAGAGAAGATTAATGTGTATAGTTGATTTAATGTAAATCAAATTCTATATATTTATTTTTTTCATTCTCCAAAATTAAAGAACTTAATCGAATATATTTTTAAGGCTCAATTTATATATATATATATATATATATATATATATATATATATATATATATATATATATATATATATATATATATATATATATATATATATATATATATATATATATATATATATAATCTGAGAAGAGGCGCAAAATATACCTACTAAAAGAAATTAACTAAAGTAAAAAAAACAGTAGCAACCACAATTCAAAGAATGTTAAAATAGTTGATCTCTCAAAGAAGTAGTAATAAATTTCTCTACTTTTTAAAAAGTTTTAGGAGGAAAACCCTCATTTGCTACAAACAACATTCCTTTTTTAGTAGGTGACAGTAAATGGGATCAGTTTTTGGAATTGATATTTGTGGTAATTGATGTTGATGTTGATTTTAGGTACTTTTAGTAAGTAGGAGTAATATTTGAGGTGGGGATAATTTTATTGTTATTTTATTTTATTTTTTAATAGAATAAAGATGAAAAGATAAATATTTAAGTTTTATATTACTTTTATTTTTTTCTTTTTTAATCCTATTTTATAATGTTCGTGTTTTTTAATTATTATTTCATTTAAATAGTTTTATAAATTAAGATTACAAAAAATGAAAAGTATCAATGTAACATATTTAAATAAAATATAAAAGTCACAATTATTATTAATTTAAAAACATTAAATATTTGTGTTATTCAATTAGTATTATTTAAATTTAATTTATGTGTATCGATAACGTAATATAATTTATCACTTTCAATCAATGAAAAATCAATTATGTCATTAAAATAATTTTAAAATTTAAGAATGATTTGATTAAATGCATCTCAGTAATTGAATAACTGGATAAAATTATTTTGCATTGTGTATATTTTATTTTTTTAATTATTTAAAATAAAATGTTGAAAATTAAATAAATATATAAAAGACAATTATTAAATAAAAATAATATGCACAATTGTCAAAAAAATATCACAAATTACCTATATATAACATAACCTCTCTTCAATCCTATTAGTATATAATATATGATATACTAAATAATGACATTAAAAGCTATAAAAGGTAGCAAATAATTCACTGCAACAAATTAACTTAAAATTGGCCATTTTGTTTAGTTATCATTTGTTTAGCGGCAATTAAGTAATATAAAATTTGTTAGAGGCAATGGCATATTCCACAAGTTCTTCTTCTGGACATATGTACCATGCATCAAAGATTTTTCTTTCGGTAAATCTATTATACAAATTTATTGAACATGACTGTACGGTAAATATAAAGTAACGCTACTCATGACAATGACATAAGATGGAAACAACAACATTTTTCCGATCACCTTCGCTCTAGTTGAAGGGGAAACTGCTAGTGGATGAAGTTTTTTTTTATAAAAATCTTCGACTAAATGTTGCTTCTCAGCCTAACTTATGCTTGATTTCAGACCGCCATCCATCAATTGAGACTACTTATAAAAACCTTGATAACGGCTGACAGGATCCTCTGTCTACACATGTCTACTATATTAGACACATCTCTCAAAATTTCATGCGGGAGATCAAAAACAAGATGCTACGGAAGAAGGTTGTGAACACATGATGTGCATTATTATAACCTTCCTTCAAACACTACCGCAAAGAGATCAAATTGATATATACAGATGCAATAAGGTGGATCGACAATATTCTATTGGAGAAATGGACCAAGGTATTCGACAATGGTCAACGATGGGGCCACGTGACAACAAATCTCATGGAATCAATTAACTATGTCTTCAAAGGCATAAAAAACCTACAAATAACCGCTTTGGTGAGAGCAACCTAGTTTAGGTTAAGGTCACTGTTTGAGATCAGACGTTCAAATGGGGTTCCGTGTTAGAATTGGGGCAGCTGTTTAGTGAAATTTCAATGAAACTCATTAAGGAGGAAGCTGCCAAAGCTAACACACATGTGATCACAGTGTTTGACCAGAGCAAAGGCCGGTTCAGTGTATATAAGATAATGGACCACAATGAGGGGAAGCCAATGGGATACTACCGAGTAGAGTTAGATAGAGGTTGGTGCAATTGCGGGGAGTTCCAAGCCTTTTGTATGCCTTGCTCTCATGTCATAGCGGCATGTTCAAAGGCTCAACAGGACCCTTCCAACTTGCTATTCGTCGTTTACAACGTCATAAGCCTATGCAATGTGTATAACAATAGCTTTCTGGTGGTAGCAAAGAAGAATTATTGGCCTACATGTCAAGGAGAGATAGTTTGACACAATGAAAATATACGAAGAAAGAAAAAGGGTCGTCCTAACAACACACATAGTTCATGTCATTATCCCATCAGAGTCTTACAAACTGTCTCAATATTGGAGCAAGCACTATAAGATAATTTTATACGTAACCATCTTATTTGATATTGAAACAAAGTTCATTTCATAAATATCACAACATTCGGTTACAACAATTTAAACAACAATTAAACAATAATTTAAACAACATCTAAACAAGAATACAAACAAATAAAACGACTAAACAACATATATGCGATTACAACCATCAAAACAATTTTTTCACTGCAATGCATCATAATACGACAATCTCTGTCAGTTTAATTCACTCCCAGAAACGACTTTCTCCATTGTCGTTGTACATCGTAACAAGCCTTTAAATTTTGCTGATCTTTTCGTCGTTTGCAACGTCTCCATCTAACTAACAGATCAAGCTCCTTTAAAGATGCTCAAACGTCTTCGTGTTTCAGAGTCAGATCTTCATCGGAGGTTTTACTGTTGAATAAATCAAATAAGCATTTCTCTTGTATATATAAGGCGACATTTTCAAGAAAAATTAAAGAATACACTTAAAAGATGAGTGAAAATGATGGGGAGGGAATGAGATATATATAGAAAACCCAAAATAATGCAATCGTCAGTGCATGTGGTACATGTTCCTAGAAGACGCATGCATGCGCCACATGCAGTGACATATTTACTAAGCATGCACCACTATGCATGTCGCCTATGTACAACAAATGCGAGCATGTGCCACTTATAGTAACTACTCCTCTTATCAGCGATTTTTTTATATTTAAAACTTGATTAATTTGATATTTTATTTGAAATTATGATTATTTTAAAAAATTAAATAAAAAATATGATTATTTAAAAAAAATTGCAAATTCTTTTTTCCTATTTAATAATTTCTAATTTTTATACCGAAAAAAGTTCCATGGATAAAAATAGAAAGAATTTTTAACTTAAACTTTTTTAGTTACCCATAAATGAATAGATGCCGTTCCTTAAAAATAAATATTTCGAAAAATTAATTTTTAATAAAACTAGTTACTATTTAACAGATGAATCAATTTTTTTATAAATAGTTTAATTTGTAAATGACAAGAAAAGTAATTATTATGATATAATTGAATTCTATAAAACTAGTTTGAGCCAACAGAAAAGTATAATTTAATTTATAACACGAAAGTGTAATTTAATTTACATAAAAAATCTTTAACTTAAAAACTTTTAAAACAACAAAAATCAACAACTCCATCAAATAAAAGAAAAACAAAATGCAGACGCACTTTTGAACCACACTGACGCAACTGGCCGGTAAACGCAGCAGATTTGGTCATCGGCCGCCATAACCGGTGAGAAAGTCTGTTCATCTTTTTCTCTTTCCGATTTTCTTTCCCTCGTCTCTACTTGTTCGGTGCCGCACCGTAGCGCCCGCGATGATGCAATTCCAGCGCGATTTGCGGCCGCCATAGCCGCCTCTGTAAAATACAACCCACCAGTCAATTGTGTAGGAAAAGAAATCCACTCCGCAACGCGATTCCGCGCTAAAACTGTGGATTTTCTCCCTTGGATCTATGTCTATGGTTATGTATTATTAATATTTTTCTTATTTTTGCAAAATGTGTATTAATTTTTATTATCCAATATTGTGCATTTATGAGTTCATACTCAACCTTGGTTGTAATTTGTAAAACATTATAATTAACCACTAAATCTTGAAGAATTTTGCCTTAAATGATTTTTAGCTAGGTAGCACCGACACCTCTAAAAAATGGTGTGTTTGTGTAGACACCTACACCGACACTTGCATTACCTTTAATTTCTTCATTTTCAAATTATTATCTGTGTTACTGTGTCGGTGTTGTGTTTGGGATATCTTAGTTTTATAGATTTTTAGCATTTGGAATTAGGTAGCAATGGAAAATAGTGTTTGTCATTCTATCAACTATTATGTATGCAAATGATTTTTAAACTGTTTTAAGAAAGTATTTATCGGTTAAACTTGGAATCCATTTCGATAAAGTATCAAATGTTTTACTACTATAAAGCTATAGCTTGCGCTAGTTCTATTTTGAAAAATCAGGATTATTCATTGTTTGGTCTGTTTTCATTTTTCTTAATTTCAATAAAACCAGCTTTACCTACCTTAGACGTTTTTTCCGTTGTGACGGTCTAAATGAATGATGGATCTTGATTCAGTTCTATAATAATCCGCGACTATTTTGAAGTAAGAGTAAATTAGATTGTAATGCTTCCTTTCCTATCTGGCTCTGGAATGATGTTAATTAGCCAAATCAAACAATAATGTGCTCCATGACGCAACCGACTTTATCCGTTTGGATCATGTTGATGACCCTCGTGTTGAAGCGCATTTCTCTGATGATAAACAAAGAGATTGGTTTTTCTATTTCTGATCAGACCCAGTTACCATAACACTTTTCTTTCTCTAAAGAAAAGAAAAGAAGTTACCTTTTATATTTACTCTTATCTATTTTTGATGTTTGTTAGCATTTTGGTTCATAATGAGTCTCTTGCTATATTAAATTCTATCAGATTTGAAATTGCTCAATTTGTGCTGAAATATTTGAAATTTTGCAGGTTTGAGTTGATGATTTGTGTGACATCTTAATTCTCATATCATTTCACCATTTACTTATACAATATGGTTATTCTGCTTTACTTTCTCCTAATCATCATAAAGGGTCCAACCCTTTGCTTTGGAAATATGTGAGTGTATAAAAATCCTCAATCATGTCTTCATCTTATTGATATGTAGTTTGGACTTACAAATCAGAAATATTTGTTATTAACTTGATTTTTATAGTGGTCGGTTGATTATTATTATAGGGCCGAGGACAAAATTTTGAAAGTTGGAGAAGAGCTATGGAGAGAAACTCTGCCATTACGAGGTGGCTCGTGTTTTTATCAACTACATGGTCTGAAACCCCAAACGTGGTATGAAGTGAAGATATCGTATCCAGCAACTGTATGTCTATTATGTGTTCTTTCAGTTCTTTGCAGAAGATCTCTCCTCTAGAAACTAACATACACGAAATATATTACAGATACCCGCGAGCTTTTCCTTACAATTGAAGAGAAACAAGTCAGATGTTTTACCAAACAATCACAGGAGATTGCTCAACACCGAAAAACTCATTTTTAAAACTTATAGCGATCAGGTGCAATGTTAGTACAAAGTCTTACTCCAAACTTTCCGAGGCTTAGCTTTATTATCCATTATTCTTACGACCTTGACTTGACTCAATTCAGGATGAAGCCCATTTAGTATTAGTTACTGTGGAGCCAGAGGGGTTTCCTGCAAAACCGCAGGTACCCGAGAGGAAAGTTATTATTTTTAACATAGGTAATATTATGCATAATATATATTTAGAATTTTGAAGTTAGTAATTGCTGCTTCTCATGCTTCATTGCTAATTTTCCTTGTTCTATTATTGTTCTGTTGATACAACAGTGTGTGATGAACTATTGCTGGGCATACCCTACAATGCTTGGTGGGTGGTGGCACTGGCATTACTGTGTCTAGGAATTGCATTTTCTGTTCCTTGTTTTCTTCCATTGTATTTGCTACCAAAGAACCAAGTGCTACAATCGAATTGCGATTCGAAAACTTCTTGACAAGCTTCCCAGGATGATATAGTTACTATATGACCGTCTATCCAAATGCTGAGGCACACTTCATGTCATTGAAGATATAATTTTGGAATTCATCTAACCACTAATATTTCAAGTTTTCTATTTGTAACACAACTATTAGTCTCTGATATATTTTGCTTATAACGAGGCTTATAACTTTAGACTATTATTTTAGCTTTCATTACATTAGTTATATTTTCTATCATTCTAAATCAACTCAACCATAATCTGAATCTTGGGTCTTTTGAGACTCTCAACACTGGAAATCAACATAGCGGAACTTCATGGCAGTTTGGCAGAAATTGCAAATCTTTACCATGTAAACAGACCTAAAAGAATTAAAACTCTGATTAAAATACTAATAATCTTTGTTAAATACTAATAAATCTCATTAAATACTAATAACTAGCTCAACCTTTTCCATTTTTCTGAAGTTATTTTCTTCTTCTATCCCTTGTTGTCTTTGTCAGGTAACCTTTAAGGTTTTTTTTCTTTATTTCTTTAGCTGTTTTTATTTATTTATATTGTTGTTTCTTTTTTATTTGTCCTACCACTATATTTTCAGTTCTACTCGGTTGTTTCTCTTTCATTCTACTAGTGTTTTAGAGTGTTGTGATGTTTTAAAAATTGGATCGAATAGGCTAGTTCAACTGATTGGATCAGGAACTAGAGATGAATTCGTTCAGATCAGCTTTTTAAAACGGTTAGTTGGTCAAAATCGAAATAAAATTTAAAAAACTGAATTAAATTGTTCAAAACCTTTCGAGCCAACGAATTGAAATCAGTTTTGTAAAACCGTATTTTTTGAAAAAAATTTGATAAAGTTTAACATGTCACTATCAATTAAATATATACCAATTGAATGTTTAATGGATTCGATAATCAAATTTTTACCATATCTTAATTGGAAATTAGTATTTTAGACGTTGGAGTACATCCTAATCGTTAATGAGTCTTGTTTAGCCATGTGGACAAGATTCATGTACAATTTGTCATTTTTCTTTGACAACTACCTAATGTTTTTTTAATAGATAAAATCATAGAACACATTATCTATATCTATTTTGTAGATATATTATCAACACAAATATTATATTAATCCATCAGAATGTTATTTTGGGGAGCCAAACGAACACGATCAATTTCTGTTTGATTATATATCAATAATAACACGTTTGCTTGAAGTAGCAGTGTGTGTTCATGTTCAATCTTAGCAACTTGTGAGGAAAAAAGACTAAATAAAACAGTATGGCTGAAATCAAAGGCGAGCATAATGTCCATGTTGTTTCCGAAGAAGAGCCAGTTTCAGCAAAACCACTGCCTAACAAGCCAAAGCGAATTGCGTCGCTTGACATCTTCCGGGGCCTCACTGTTGCAGTACGTTTTCCATATCAGTGTAGTTTTTAAACAACATACATAAACATTATTTAATTTGCAATACCATGTTTTGATGATATGTGTTGGTTGCAGCTTATGATCTTAGTTGATGATGCTGGAGATCAATGGCCAGTGATTGGTCATGCGCCGTGGAATGGCTGTCATCTTGCTGATTTTGTTATGCCTTTCTTTTTGTTCATTGTAGGGATGGCCATTCCACTTTCTCTCAAGGTTGGCTAAGATGGCTTCGATTTGTTTTTTCATCTTTGGTTCAAACCAGTTCTTTATTTGCTTATGTCTTCTATTTTATGTGCCAGAAAATACCAAATAAACTTGTAGCTGTTAAAAAGGTGATAGGAAGAACACTGAAACTCCTCTTCTGGGGTCTGCTCTTACAAGGTTAGTTTTTTAAGGTCTTGCGAAAGCTATTCTCTTGAAATGTGCTATAATAATTGAAAGATAACATCAATATGCTTTGTTTTTGTTGTGATGAATGACCGTAATGATGAAGGTGGCTTCTCACATGCTCCTGACCATCTATCATATGGAGTTGACATGAAACACATAAGGTGGTGTGGTATTCTTCAGGTGATTGATTTCAATCCTTTTTTTTGCAGTTATTTTGGTAGGGTAGGATAGATTTTCGTTTTCGATATAATGACCTTAAAAAAGATAAATCTTGTGTTTGTACTCATAGAGAATTGCTCTAGCATATTTGGTTGTGGCACTCGTGGAGATAATTTCAAGAAGTAGACAAGCCAGAGATGATCCGGAACACACAAACCTCTCAATATTTAAGCTGTACTATTGGCATTGGTTAGTCTGTAATGGCATTGTTTTCGTTGATGGCCAGTTTAATCTGCTTTTCTTGAGTATTATTCTGTTAATTACAATTTCAGGTTGGTAGCGGCGTGTATAGTTATAGTTTACATGACTTTACTTTATAGAATACATGTTCCAGACTGGACATTCACTGTCCATAATCCAGACAGCATATATAACGGCACAACTCTCACCGTAAGCTTCAGTTCCCGCCTCTTGTTTACCCTCTTTTTTTCAACTCTCTCTAATTTGTTTGCTCATCTCATTTTAGGTGTCGTGTGGTGTCCAAGGGAAACTTGACCCTCCTTGTAATGCCGTGGGATATATCGACAGAGTAGTGCTTGGAATTAACCATGTGTATAAGAAGCCAGCTTGGAGGAGATCTGAAGTGTGTTGCTATTTTCTACTAAATTTTTTGTATGAATCACTTTTTATGGTTTGTGGTTATTTCAAACACTTATTGCCTTCTATGCAAGTCCCGCAGGCTTGTACCGTGAAACCTCCGTATGAAGGGCCTTTTAAAAACACCGCTCCTGCATGGTGTTATGCTCCTTTTGAACCAGAAGGAATTTTAAGGTATGTATTACCGCCGAAATCTCAAACATGGCGCGAAGGACTTTAATATGATTATGAATATTTCGCTTTTGTTGAGCCTTTTCCTTAGATTAATATCATTTGCGTCTGCAGCTCAATATCTGCAATTCTATCCACAATCATCGGATTGCATTATGGACATGTACTCGTACACTTGCAGGTAAAACCTGTAACTCAAAGTAATTAGTGTTTGAAATCTTGAATTCGACTTGCATTTTAACTTTTCTGATTTTAGGATCATCTTTCTAGATTGAAGCAATGGATTCTCATCGGCTTAGCTCTCCTTACTTTAGGATTTGTTCTTCATTTCACCCACGGTACGAAATCTTACCCCAGTGTTGGTTCCAACTTACTACGCAACCAAAAAATCTGACGCTTCCCGTTTTTCTTCCCGTTCTTCCATTTACTGCAGCCATTCCTTTGAATAAACAGCTCTACTCGCTAAGCTATGTTTGCGTAACTTCTGGCGCGGCGGCGTTAGTTTTTTCAGCCTTCTATGTGATGGTATATTTTAGGAAACAATATTTTCTCCCTGTGGTTATTTTTCACAATTGTCTCATTTGGGTTGATTTTGAAATTTTTCTATGTCATCGCAGGTTGATATTTTCGGATTAAAACTGTTGTTCATCCCTCTTAAATGGATCGGTATGAATGCCATGTTTGTCTATGTCATGGCAGCTGAAGGAATCTTTGCAGGATTCATCAATGGGTGGTATTATGACAACCCTCAAAATACACTGGTACATTCATCTTAACTGATTTTCTATATACTTTGGTTCATGAACTCGTGGATACGAATCATACGATACACGAACCGTAATTGACACAAACATAAGATCGCCAACAACAAAGTTATATTGACAACAACACATTGATGTTTAATGTGTTTTGTAAACAGGTCTATTGGATCCAAGAGCATGTTTTCATTAGAGTTTGGCATTCAACGAAACTAGGTATCTTACTGTATGTGATCTTCGCCGAGATCCTATTCTGGGCTGTCATAGCAGGCATTTTGCACAAATTGGACATATATTGGAAGCTTTGAACTTTAAAAATAATGAATGTGCATGCTGTTTTTTATTTATTGATTGCTGAATGTAATTTTTTTTGTCTAATAAATTAGATGTGGTGGGTTGGAATTCTCGCCCTTACAATAAGACGTATCTACCCGGTTATCAATTGAGTTAGCTACCAATTAAGTTGATTTAACATATTAACCAAGTACTTGGACTCGAGTAGTATATGAGTTCTTACTAAGGAAGGAAGGTTCGAGAAATAACGAATTTGATTCCTGGTGGGAATAATACTTGACGAATATCAGTACCTCTCGGCACGAGCTAAGAAAAAAAAAAGTTGACTTAAACATATTTGTTATTTAGTAATGTTAATTTTAGTATGTTTTATGTATTGGAAGTTATTTGTTTGCTTTTAAATCCACATATTGGCATGTTGTCTATATGTAAAATTTGAAAAGCCACTAGCTGCTTCTATTATTTCATTGGCTTATGTACAAGGTTTTGCGTTGGAATGCTTGATTGTAGTGCTATAATAATTTGGAGAAATTAATTTGCCATGCTCTCAATTAAACATGACATCCTCACATTATGATTGTTATTATTTTTATGTCCTTACGAAATTTTTTTGTATAGAGTATGTAATTAGTATAGGCTCATGTCTGTCTGAACACTGTTTAAAACATGCTATTGCAGGTCAATTGAATCTGCAATATAAAAGCAGATAGTTGTAGATATTTGTAACTAACTAAAACAGAAATAAAAGTTAGTTAGATTGAAATGAAATATATCTCTCTCTTTATCCCTTTTTAATATGGTATCAGATTAGTTCGGTTCCAATCTAGAGTCCTATCATGGCCGCGACACCACCACCGGAGGAGTCGCCTACTTCTTCCACTCAAGATCCATCGGTTTCGTCACCGGTCATCGTAATGTCAATGGAGGAATGTAATCGCCTTTAGTTCTTGCTCAAGATTTTACAAAAGCTCGATGAAAAGAACTTTCATCCATGGCATCAACAAATTGAGCCATACATCAATGCGCGTAGCCTAACGGATCTTGTTGTTTGCATAAGGATTCCACCTCAACTCGTCGATAATGAAGCTCGCGTCCTCGGTACCGTCAATCCTCATATTTGCGTTGGCTTCAGAAAGACCAAATGATGTTCTCGTGGTT